AGGACAGAGCCACAGATGACGGGAAGAGGAGTGAGACCGAGGAGACAACGTCTCAGCCTGGGACACCTCGACGGACCAAGCCACAACCAAGCGCGGCCACTGCGACCCGAACCATCGCAACCGCCACCAAACACCTTCGATCGACTTGGGAAAGGGCACCTCGTCGATCCCACGAATCTGGAACAGGGCCAACGAATGGAGACGAGCGCAAGTCCGACTTGAGTGAGCGGTGGAGGCCGTCGACCGACGGCTCCGGACCGCCGTTAAGGGGGCAACGGCACTGCACAAATTGGGCGACTAGAGTTGAGGGTGTTTTGGGAGAAATGATTTAAACTTGAGATTCTAAATAAATATGTGATAACAAATATATTAATTAAAGTTGATGTTATATAAAAATTATAAAGTATTAATCTATAAGATTGATAGTTAGAAATATGTGAGTAAATGTATAATGTTTATTTATTCATTTATTTATTTATTTTGTTTGAAAAACATATGATATTGATACTTAACATAAATGTTTTTTTTTTTACAATAAATATATATTTTTTTATGGAATCTTATCATTTTTTTTAGATGAGTTCTTTTGACAAGCATGAGAGTGAAGGTGGGGCATTGAGGTAAAAATAAAAACTTCGACTATCTTCTATACTAGAACAAATTTTTTAGGTAATTAAATTCATTTTTTATTTTTGTTAGTGTGTACACATGCTATATTGTCATTACTCACTGTCAACTGTATGTTAATGTTACTGTTGTTGATCAACTTTGATCCACCCAAAATATAAATTTAGTGTGGGTATTAAGATTTTTTAAGCTATTGAATATCGATATATTAAGGCAAATTTGGGCGAAGACTTTTTGCTAGTGAGGTCGAATTCTCGTCTTTAATGTTGTGTTTAATGGGTGAATCAATTTTCTTAACAGAGAATTATTTATTGTCGCCTTTTCCAAATGTATTCTTAGAACTATTTATAATAAGATATGTTTGGTCACTGTTCAGCGGGTTACATCAATTTAATGCCGAATGACGGATATTTAGTGCGAACATGCTACCCTAGTACCTAGAGGACAGAGGTTTGCAAAGCCGACATGCGTGTCCCATCAGTCATCATTGGGCTACAAGAAGGATTATTATAATATTTCTCCTTCTATGTGCTTCTAATCCTCCACCTTTGTGATGCCTTCAGGTCGGACTATCGGCGTCCGACTTTCCATGTCTTTATAGTCAGATCGCCATTTATTCTTGAAAAGCTGGTCGGGGTGCTTGACGAAAATCCGACCTGAGGTTCTGTCTTTTGTACTTAGTGTCGTTTTTCTTTTTTAAGTTCCCACTTGTAATATTGAACTTTGAACTCATATTTTTCGACTTGGATGTCAACAATTGTCAATACTCATTGTTAACTATATTTTAATGTTAGTTTTTTTATGTAACTATTGTTTTCATTTTAACTTATGTAATTTACTATATTTTAAATTTAGTTTTTTTTATGTAACTGTTATTTTCATTTTAACTTATTTTATTTTATTTTATTATTATAGTTTATTTAGATGGGATTTTATGTTTTAGCAATTCATACTGTTTAAACTTTGCTAATATATTTCATTTTTTGTCGGTGACTAACATGAACATCCTCTCTCTCCCTAAAAAAAAAACCCCTTTCTGCGTAAATCTAAATCCCAAATCCCTGCCTCCCTACCACCACAACTCCCTCCTCCTTCCTCCGGCCAGCTGGCATCAAGGCCGGCAACTCACCCCCTCTCCTTGGTTGTGCTCCGCGTGCCTTAGACAGTGTTGACGGGCCATCCAATTTCAGATGCAGTGTGGGTGGAAGTCGAGCTCCGGCGGCTTTTGTGTTGCCGGCGTCCTCGCTCTGTTCGTGCTCTATTTCTCAAGGGCTGGTCTTCACGGTGGGTGGCAGTTGGTCTTTGATGTGTGTGAGGCGGGAGACGTGGGTTGTGGCTGCGCGTTGATTAAAGCGGTCTCTTTGCATTGAAGGCTTTTTTCGAGGTTGAGGATCTCAGATCTGGATAGCCGTAGCCGATTTGGAGTGCGGAGTTTTTGGACTTGTATTCTAGGCTGAGGACGGGCTTTTCTATGTAGATTTCTTCGATTTTTTTGGCTTGTGAGGTTGTAGTGTATGTGTAGTTTGACGGTGGCCGGGAGGGCTCTATTTTGTTAATTAGGGGTGATTTGTTTTTTACTTGTGTTTTTGTTCGTTTAGTGCAGTTTTGTCTACTTTTAGTGTAGTTGTGTCTGCGTTTCTCTCCTATATGGAGTTTTGTTTTGTGTTTATTCGCCTCCTTGATGGAGTTTGTACCTCCTTGTGTGTGATGACAAGGGGTGTTGGTCCAGTCTTCTGGTTCCAGTGTGTCATTTGACACTTCGGTTGTACTCATTTGAGTTTTTAAGTTATTAATATAATTGTCGTTTGAAAAAAAAAGACTAACATGAACATCAATAATTATATTGTTAAACCAAATAATTTTCAATATTTTTTTTTGTCATTTGTGGAACAATTAAATGAACTTTCTCTTGTTAAATTTTGCCACTTACTAAATATAGTAAATTACCTTTTTTTTTCATATTTAGTACATTTCTTGATGTTTCAAATACAAAATTGGACTTGCCTACATTTTTTTTTATCTGTATAACTCATGTAATTCTTTCAGTCATTTAGCCCATTTCCTTAAACGGGCAATATATTCAAACACTAAGAAAACGATTTATACTTTTTTTTTCCCAAACAATAAATTAGCATATTAATAATCAAATCATATACATTAAAAGTTCATCAACCTTCTAAAATTACACAGCAACAAAAACACATCTATAAGTTAAACCTTCCTATAACTCTCAATAAATAAAGACTAGCTACTAAAACCTGAAACAACAAGAAACAAATACAAGAACAATAAACTATCTTTGCTCTAGAAAATAAAAGAAAAAACTAGTCATATCCTTTATTAAACAACTTCATCACTCGTCTCCAACCCAATGTAGTTACTAGCCGCCATAAGTCACCCACAATCGGGCATCAATAAGGATGTCGTTCATAATTTAAAACATATTTTAGTTGTCAGTACAACGAATTAAGATATGCAGATCATAAGTTCTCAAATTTAAAAGTCATTTTAAATATTAATCATTATAATGAATCACGATCCACAGATCAAAAATTATCAAATTTAAAAGTTTTGTACAACACTTAATCGTTTAATAAATTATAATAAATTATAGTTCTACTAAGGCAGTCGAGCATAATGTAACACATTATAAGCATCAATCACTTCAATAAATTACAATGTACGTACCATTTTTTTTCTCAAACGTAAAAAATCCAATACAAATATAAATTTTAGCATCAAAAAGTCCAATGAATACCTTGAGTTCCTGGAATTCAAACAAAATTAAAATACTTCCACTCTAAGTTCCACTCGATGTGTTATACCACAAATCCTCGAATCGCTCGACCGCTCCTCTTGAACCGGGTTAAGCCTCCTTGATCGTCGGTACCTGCAAAACACGTCAGGGGCGGTCCCGGCGTGGACACTCTGACGCTCAAGTCAGTGATATTCGGGAGAAAAAACGATAGAGTATCGAGATAATGGGTATGTGTGTTTTGTGTAAAATGAATGAACCTGTGCCCTTTTATAGATGAGGTCATGTATAGGCCGAAGAGTTCTTGTCGGACTATAAGTCTTCCTCATGTCTACCTCTAAATCACGTCAGATATTTCAGATCTTCAGAGTCCTCATCGCTACAAACTTCCTTGTGACTTGGTCAAAAAGCCATCTCCAGGCTCTGGTCCCCTCGGCAAGACCCTCTAGTCGAGCTCCTATGCACCGAGCTACGTAGGTGCCTAAGCGCTGAGCCGCTTAGGTGATCACATCCTCCAAGCTTACCAACCTTTAGTACTCCGCGAAGCTAGTCACCGCCTAGCTAGTCCTGCCTAGCTCCCATCCGCCTAGCTTACCAACCTTTGGTACTCCGCCTAGCTAGTCCTCGCCTAGCTCCCATCCGTCTAGCTTACCAACCTTTGTTACTCCGCCTAGCTAGTCATCTCCTAGCTAGGCCTCGCCTAGCTCCCATCTGCCTAGCTTACCAATCTTTGGTACTCCGCCTAACTAGTCACCGCCTACCTAGTCCTCGCCTAGCTCCCATTGGTACTTCGCCTAGCTAGTCACCGCCTAGCTAGTCCTCGCCTAGCTCCCATCGTCCTAGCTTACCAGCCTTTGGTACTCCGCCTAGCTAGTCGAACTACGCCTAACTGGTTGAACCACGCCTAGCTGGTTGAACCATACCTAGCTGATTGGACTGCGCCTAGCTGGTTGAACCACGCCTAGCAGTTTGAACTCCGCCTAGTTGACCCACCTTGGTATGCCACCAAAGTGCTCAAGCCAAGGTAGCCCCTTGCCTAGCTCCTATTCAGTGTAAATATGACCAAACTCGGATCACAATCGGTCCTCCACGAACCGCTACTTATGACCATATCACGATGTTTACAATACCACACATTTTTTTTTTTTTTATCATTTTTTAGACGAAAAATCCTAAAAATGTATTATTATATTTTGCGATTTTAGTAACTTGAAAAAAACAAAATAAATACGTGACAATATGAAATTCACAACGAACTAATTTTCTAATCATTACGTATAAGTGTATAACCAAAATTCCCATGTTTGTATACAAGAAGTCTCAAAAAAAATTTTCAACATTTTAACTCAACAATTTTTTTTAACTCAATCCCACTATCATCAATATTATCAATATAATTAAATAATATCAATCAATCATTCATACCACCACATCAACCTTAATTCACTATTCATCCACTCACAATATTTTAACTAACTATCACATTAAATTTTTAATTATTTTATTTTAAATATTATTTTAATATACCCACTAACAATTAACCATACTACCCTTTTCAAAATTAACCAAATCAAACCAAAAAAATCCAACAAAACCAAAAATTTTCATAACCAAAAACTTCTATTTCTGAATTTCTCAAAAATAAGTTTTTCCTCATTCATCCCTTTTACCACTTTTCTTCTGGTTTTTAGACCAAGAACACGCACACACACATTCCAGTTCAAATCAAAATCAAATCAGTTTCCTCAAAGCGTCAAGCGATTCTTCTGAAAATCCCCAATTTCCTCACCCGCAGTTCATGTACTCATCTAAGAAAATTTATGCCCCAAATGGAATTTTTTATTAGAAAAGCATAAACAAACCCTTCATCTGCCCTTTTTTCCCTATATAATTGGACGATCTTTGCGCTTTCTCCCTTTCTCCCTTATATTCCTTGTTTTTGAGGAGAAAAATCGAATATTTATAGTCAAGTATTATTCGATTTTCTCTGCATTGCGGCCAATATTTTCTTGAAACTATTGGAGCCTGTTTCATTAGGGTTTTGTTTAGGATAGCTCGATCAACTAATCTGGTGGTGTTTAGGTTTCCCTTCTAGTTGATTTGCCTCGACCGGACAATTGAAGCTCTGTATTGAGGTTTTGAATAGCCAGTACGTGAATACGATATTGTTTGTTATAGAATTGGCGCTTAGAGTGTTACCACGTAGGTTCAGATTTGTCTGTGTATGTTGGGAAACTTGGCTTTGCTTGAATTTGCTTTAGTTTTGAATTTTTGCGGGTTGTCCTGGGGAAGGATTGTGTTCCTTTTTCCCTTTTAACTTTGAATAGAATTTTAATCTATTTAGTCTTTTGCTGTTCCATCTAGGTTGTCGAAGAGGTGGTTGTGTATGGGAGAAAATGAGGGATGGGCTGAGTCAGGTGGGCCATTGCCAAATGGGCTTTTGCCCGGGGCTGGGCCAGTGTTGCGGACCCTCGATTTAGAACGATGGTCGAGAGCAGAGGATAGGACTGCTGAGCTCATTGCCTGCATTCAGCCCAACCAGCTTTCTGAGGAGCGTAGAAATGCTGTTGCAGAATATGTACAAAGGCTCATTACGAAGTGCTTCCCATGCCAGGTTGTTGGAGTATTTATTGGGTGCCATTTTAGTTCTTCACGTGAAGTGCTGTTTTACTGAATGAGTACATTGTATGTCCTTTGTTAAAATACATTTCCATGCCGTAATTGGCGCTAAAGGTTTAATGTATTTTAAAATGTTTCCTTATTTAGAATTTCATTTTTCTAGCTTGGAAATAATCAGAACACCTGAGGGGATACTTTGGATGCAAGAGATAAAATAGATGTGAAATGGGTAGGCTTGGAAACACTGCTTGCCTTTAAATCATAGACATGAGACCTTGTGATTTTCTGATGTTCTGAAATTTAAACTGGTTCTGCCGTGGGGCTTTCCTGTAAGAGGAGAGAGGGCAGACCTTTAATGGTTAACAGAAGTGTGTTGTATGTTATGAAACATAGATATATTAGCTATATGGGAAGTTCCCCTCTTTATGAGTCAGTTTGAGTGACATTATTGGTGCAATGATATGTATGCTGGCTTCTCCTTTTTGTTTATTATTGCTGTTCTTCTATTTTAATCTATTTCACTGCTATAGGTCTGCACCTTTGGTTCTGTACCACTGAAGACTTATCTGCCTGATGGTGACATCGATTTGACTGCTTTCAGTCATGATCAGAATGTGAAAGACAACTGGGCCAATCAGGTTCGAGATATGCTACAGAATGAGGAAAAGAATGAGAATGCTGAATTTCATGTGAAGGAGGTTCAGTATATCCAAGCAGAAGTATGCTCTCTCTTACATTCTTTATAATCTTTATCTTCAGCTTGTGCTATTGTGTGTTCATGGTCCTTTACGTCAGGTTTGCTGCGAGTGTCTGCAGCAAAATAGTGAAATGCACTGGCCTTAATTTAGAGGGCCTTGAACTGTGACATCTAATAATCGTTCAATGCATGACATTGTTAATCTGCTACCATATATGAATATTTCTGGATATCGAGATCTCTAGACAATGAATTTCTAGACCCTTTTTATATGGTATAAACCTTCTTTTGTATGTCTAAGTTTGTTGCTTTGACGACTTACCAAAATGCTTTGCGGAAATATTTGCTAATAATTTTATGCTTGTTCCTATATCTGCTGTTACATAATATTTGTTTTGTCACCTGGTTTTATACTGCAGGTGAAAATAATTAAATGTCTTGTAGAAAATATTGTGGTGGATATATCTTTTAATCAAGTTGGTGGGCTGTGTACTCTCTGTTTCCTTGACGAGGTGATTACTGGTTTACAACTCTACATCCATGTTCACTAGTGAAATTATCTGACAACATTAGCTATTATGATGCCAGTACCTAATGACAGATTTATTATCTGAAAGAGCCTTATGATTTTCTGCTTCTTAGGTTGATCACCTAATAAATCAGAATCATCTGTTCAAACGTAGTATTATCTTGATCAAAGCTTGGTGCTACTATGAAAGCCGAATATTGGGTGCTCATCATGGTCTCATATCTACCTATGCCTTGGAGACCTTAGTTCTTTACATCTTTCACGTGTTCAACAATACCTTTCATGGACCTCTTGAGGTGACTTAATTCTTCTTGTGCCAATGTCTCAATTTCTGTTTCCAATTGCTCTTTTGATACACCTTATTTACTCTGCAGGTTCTTTATCGCTTTCTGGAGTTCTTCAGCAATTTTGACTGGGACAATTTTTGTGTCAGCTTATGGGGGCCTGTACCTATTAGTTCCCTACCCGATATGACTGGTTAGAGCTTGAGGACCTTTTTGCTTTTTATGGATAATTACACATACTCACTTTAGATTTGATGCAATTTGGAAAATACATAAACATCTTACGAACTTGCAAATACTCCCTTAAATTACGACAAGTATTCTACCGAAGAAAAATCTATTTTAGAGACTCAATTCGTAAACTTGAACGACATGTAATGAGGGTATTTGTAATTTTCATGGTAGCTGGGATTACTGGTAATGATTATTAATCTCAAAGGTATTTGTCTGTGAGTAACCCATTTGATTTTTAATTGGCGATATAGTAGTTGTTCTTGAATTTCCTTATCTGATTTGCAATATTTTACAGCGGAACCTCCTCGAAAGGACAGTGGAGAACTGCTACTTAGCAAGTTGTTTCTTGATGCTTGTAGCTCTGTGTATGCTGTTTTCCCAGGTGGCCAAGAAAATAATGGACAACCATTTATTTCAAAACATTTTAATGTGATTGATCCATTACGTGTCAACAACAATCTTGGACGTAGTGTGAGTAAAGGTAAGCTTAGCTTGTTATGTGCCTTGCCTCATATTTCTAATATGCTACGAGCTCAATACTGTCTTTAGTTGTGAAGCTATTTGGTGCATTATGAAAGCTTCTGGCAATCTGCCTTGTTCATTAGCGGGCATTTGGTACTCATGTTTTTTTCTTGAGTCGGGTGAAGAACTTAGGTGCGATTGGAAATCTTCTTTTCACGAATTAATTTTCAGATCGAAAATGATTAAAATGTTTTTGGAAGTAGAAATAAATATTTGAGGGTTGTGATTCGATTTGAGGTGAAAATGTAATGATGAAATTTGATTTAAGATAAAAATAGTAAACTACTTATCATATATGATATGCTCTCGTTCGCATTCTTAATTGGTCTATATAGTTAATACACGTAGTCATTGATGAAAAAGAATTATTGATTTTATGTTTTTTTTTTCGTTGTTGAGGTAATGTACTGTTGTTTTCTTTTAACTTAGGTCTTCACTTAGACACCTGGTATTATATTTGTCTTCATAATAGTTATCTATGTTTGGAGAATGGTAAGAAGTTTTGGGCTTTAGTTCCATATCTTTTCTTCATCTTTCCTAGTGGTAACTGTGCTAATGTGAAATCATAACTCATGTAATCTTTTAGATTTATGTTATTCTTTCAATTTCTCAGGTAATTTTTTTAGAATCCGAAGTGCATTTGCTTTTGGAGCGAAAAGACTGGCCAGATTACTTGACTGCCCAGAAGAAAACTTGAGTTTTGAAGTTAATCAGTTCTTCATGAACACATGGGATAGGCATGGCAGTGGTCATAGGCCTGATGCACCTGGGGTCGATTCATGGCGCACGGGATTACCAACTCCAGGCCCTCATCATGAAAATAGTAATTCTGGTAATATCTTGAGTGGGAACAGTGTAAATCAAAACAAAACTTCTTCTCTCCATGGGACAGAGGACAGGGGCACTCATGGTCATGGTAAAACCTCTGCCTCTCGCACGAAAAGTCTAAAAAGTCAAACCTCAAACAGCTCCCGTGCATCTGATCAAATCCGAAGAGACAATACTTCTGATTGGGTGTTGGTCAATGAGGAGTTTCAGGGAGATCCTAAGGCAAATCGCGGGTTGAATGATATTCATGGCCGGTTACTTGCTCGTACATCCTCTAGCCCTGAACTTACTGTTGCATACAATGACTTCCCTTCCCAAACACGGCGCAACAGGAAACCGGAAACAATAAACACTCAAGTCCCATCCAAACAGAGCCTCGATATGCATGCTGATGGTCTGGGTGAGGAGTTCCAGTCCACCAGTGGTGCAATGAACCAGGAAGAACAAGATATCGTGAACATGATGGCGTCCGCCTCACTCCAAGGTCTACACGAGCAATTTCACATTCCGTTTAATTTAAACTCAGGCCCCTTGCCTTTCTCTATCCCACCATCTTTCCTTGCCTCAATGGGTTACGCTCAACGAAACCTTCCAGGATTTGTTCCTGCGAATAATATTCCGCTGTTTGACCCATCGTTTTCGAATCTGCAATTTCATCCTAATCTACTTTCGCCTCGTTATTTTCCTGGTGCTGGGGTGGCTTTTCCTTCAGAAGCTCCAGTCGAGCAAGGCAACGATAAATTTGGCTCTGCGGAGGTCATGAATAATGAGGAGCTCGATAATGATTTCTGGCATGAGCAAAATGTCGGATATAACCCTGAGAATGGAAAATCCAAAACAAGCGTGCCTGATGATAAACGGCCGGTGTCGGTTTCTGGTTTGAAATATATTCCCCCACATCGATTGAATAGCTCTGATAAGGCTAGCAGAGTTCAGCAGAAACATCCGAGAGAAAAACATGGCCCTGCCCGCCAAAATAGTGAGAGCCTTTCCATCCAGGATGATAGAAACAGTGAGATTTATGCAGAAGAAAGATCGGTAAGTTCAAGAGTTTCGACAGCAACTCATAGCAACTCTTTAAGGAGTAGGGCCTCTTCAGAAAGCTCTTGGGATGGATCAGCTAAAACGCCTAAATCCACGAAAGAAAGACGTGGAAAGAAAATATTACCGTCTGCAGAATTAGCTACTGGCCATACCGGCATAGGGAAAGGCAAAGTGATGTCTGACCATATGGCTAATCAGCTGGAGAATGAGAATGCTGAGACACTGGAAAGAAATTATGTGCCTGAGTCACTTTCTTCTCTACAGATCCCATCTCAGAACATGTCTTCTGGCATTGAGGCTGCTCGGGTGAGTGGGCCAGACTCGATGATGCCTTTTGCCCCAATGCTCGTTGGTCCCGGTGGCTCGACTCAGAGAATGAATGACAATTCTGGGCTGGTTGCATTTTACCCAACTGGTCCTCCAATACCATTTCTAACAATGCTGCCAGTGTACAATATTCCACCAGAGACGAGTACTTCTGAATCATCAAGTGGCCATTTTGTAGGCGATGACACCCTGGAGAACAGTGATTCTGGTCACAACATTAGTCCCGAAGGATATGATCACCTGGAGGATTTAAATTCTTTAAATTCCTTGAGAGCGACAGCTGCTGCTGAAACCTCAGAAAAGAAAAAACCCGATATTTTGAATAGTGACTTTGCCAGCCATTGGCAAAATTTACAATTCGGGAGATTCTGTCAGAACCCACAACACAGTGGGGGCCCGTTAATATATCCTTCGCCTGTCATGGTCCCACCTGCTTATCTGCAGGGTGGCCGATTTCCATACGATAGTTCTGGTAGACCTTTTTCTGCCAATACAAACCTTTTCTCGCAGCTTATGACGAGTTATGGTCAACGCCTGGTCCCTGTGGCTCCTCTCCAGTCAGTCTCCAGTAGACCTTATATTTATCAAAACTACATGGATGGCATGCCAAGATTCCGCAGTGGGACTGGGACTTACCTGCCTAATCCTGTAAGGATACCCTTTTTGGTTGTGATCATTTGCTACGTGTGCGTTATTTCTTATTCTATACTTGTTCGTCTTGTGAATTAGAGTGATTGACTTGTTTACTGATGTTTGATTGATGAAACTAACTCACACTTGGTTGTGGTCATTTGCTACGCGTGCGTTATTTCTTATCCTATACTTGTTCGTCTTGTGAATTAGAGTGTTTGACTCGTTTACTTGTGTTTGATTGATGAAACTAACTCATTTCACACTTGGTTTGCTTTCTATTTTATCTATCATGCTAATATATATCAGTGGAGGTTGTGTATATGGAGTTATGCGATCTGAGGGATGTATAATTACTGAAGCCCCTATACTGTTTCTATCTCTTTTTCTATCTCTGTGTGTTGCATGTAATTTCTAAAATGATTTGTGGTATAATACTTTTGTATGCTTGGCTCAAGAAGGTTCCCATCAGGGAGCGAAACTCGTCTAGTACAAGAAGAGGAAATTATAGCAACTATGATAGAAATGAGAACTATGGTGACAAAGATGGAAACTGGAACTCGAATCCAAAATCTCGAGGTTCTGTACGAAACCATGGCCGCAGCCGAAGTGAAAAGTCAAATTCCCGAACTGACCGTTTGACTTCTGTCGAGAATCGAGCTGACCGTTCATGGAACTCATATAGGCAGGAAGCCCTCCCTTCTTATCAACCACGTAATGGACAGTTGAGCTCAAGCTTTAATCAAAATGGTCCTCAGACAATGGCATACAACATGTACCAGTTGCCAGCTACAAATCCCAACGGAGTTACTAATGGGCCCTCTGTACCACCTTTCATGATGCTCTATCCTTTTGACCATAATAATGCTGTTCACGGTTCACACGGTGAGCAGCTTGAGTTTGGTTCTCTTGGCCCAATGGATTTGCCGGGTATGGACGAGCACTTACAGCTGAATGAGGGGACTCGAGCCAGGATGTTTCAGGAACACAGGCTTCATGGGGGTTCTGACCACCATTCTTCACCAGATCAACCATCTTCTCCACGCCAGCAGAGGTAACGAGTCCGAAAACACCTTATTCATATGAGAATTACAACTTGAGATGCTCTATGTCATTTCTCCCTGGTCTCATTTTTTTCTTACATTTATGAGCAGAATTTACAAATACCGTATGTTTGGAGTGATAAGTAATAACCAGACAAAAGGAGAAGCATCTTCCAAATTTAGAAGTGGATGCTTGATATAAAAATTAATGGTTTTGTTTGGATTTTTTGATTTGGTTTGGTTAATTTTGCAAGATGTGGTATGGTTAGTTGTTAGTGGGTATATTAAAATAATATTTGGAATAAAATAATTAAAGTTGATTTGATGTAGAAGTAGGAGAGAGATGATTTGAAGTGATGGTTAGTTAAAATTATGCGAGTGGATGAATAGTGAATTAATGTTGATGTGGTGTGTAAGAATGATTGATTGATATTATTTAATTGTATTGATAATATTGATAATAGTGGGGTCGAGTTAAAAAAGTAGCTGAGTTAAAAATGTTTGGATTTTATTGAAAATTTTTCTGTCCAAGCATCCTCTTAGTCGTTCTAAATTCTTCTAGTTGACGCCTTGATGGTGCAATTATAAACTAAAAGAAAGGGGGAAAACTGAATATTTTTTAGGATAATTAGAATATTGAAAGACATTGGAGTTTTTCACCATTTTCCCAATTAATTAAACCACAAGGAAATTTTTTTCCATCATTCACATTACATTTAGATTCGAGTCCATAGATGGCTGAATAGTGTTGGTGGGCTAACTGGAGATTCAGTTGTTTTGATGAGTAAGAGTTGTAACGAATTCCTTAATCACATGGAACACTAACCTTGACCTCGTACAAATATTGGATACAATCTCCTTATGCAACTGCAGATATTCTGTGGTTTTATCCAGTTGGCTCATGCCTGAAATTTAGATCCTTAATTATGGTTATCTCCTTATGCAATTGCAGATATTCTGTTGTTTTATCCAGTTGGCTCATGCCTGAAATTTAGATCCTTAATTATGGTTTCTTACTTTGTCTGTACATTTACTCTTTCCCTGGAAACATAACTGTTTTTCCTTAACTCGTCGATATTAATTCATGTACACCTAACAGGAGGGGTTGATATTTCCAATTTTTTGGCTTAATACAAAACACGATATGCCAGAGGATGAGGTTGTTGCACTCAAGTTTATTCTGAGGCATAAACTCAAAATGGCAAGTCCAGTTCTGCTAAATATCTCTAATCTTTTACCGGGTAAAAGCTTGGTTTGTGCCTGGAATTTTGACGTGCACGAGTGGCCTGTGTGGCATGATTTTGGTGTGCAAAATAAGCTTTTGCCAAGATTTGGAAGCTTTGGACGCATGGAGGGGCAGAGGAGTTAGCTCATCACTTCACTCTATATTTTTCTTTACGCGTTTATGTCGTAGGTGATGACACATAACACATTGTAATATCATTGGATTAGAATTAGTTTTTTACTTCAATTTTATTTGCAGGATAAATATTTTAAATATATATTAATATTTCTGTCCTCACAGATGATTTTAGGGTTTTGGTGATATTGTAACCCTCTGTATTGAATTCATCCGCCACTATG